GGGCAACGACGGAAAAGACAAGTTGGGCAGGGTAATTAGGTGACTTTCGCACTCTGATAGCAGCATCAACGGACTTGCTCCCGTTTTTGACTGACTCCAGCTTAACCTGGATGATGTCGGAATCAATCTTTTTGAAGTGGTCGCCAAAAGACGACTCCATGGCAGCCACTTCGTCTTCCCAAAGCTCTTCAGCAGTCATACCTGGATATAGCAGATCGTCTGCCTTCATAGGCGCGTCTGCCTTCATAGGCGCGTCTGCCGAGACTTGTCCGATGAGGCGTTGTTGCAGCATTTCAGCCGCTCTAGCCTCGCTGTTGCCGGCCTCCTCGAAAACCCGCGCACACAAGTCGAGGGCGTAACCTGACTCCGATAAACGTTTGATCGCGGCTTCCTTCTTGAGGTCCATCGAAGCGACCGAGATGCCTGCCGCGTAACTCTCAGGCAGTGCCCACGGTGGCAAATCATCCTCGGGAACATGAATCAACAGCCACTCGAGGGTCTCTTCGCGGTCTTTACAGATTTCCGTTGCTTCTTCCACATGGCTCCGTCTGAATGCCAGCTTGCTTAGCTCATCAATGATGCTCTTCCGCATAGCAGCAGACATTTGGACCTTGTTGGGATTCCAGACCACGTATTTCTGAATGAGAGCTTCGATCTGTGTCCTCGAGCGCTTGCCCATTTCAATCTTGGGAGCTTCGGTCCATCCCTTCATCAAATTCGCCCCGCCAGGACCATTGCCAATAACCAGGCTTGATGCGCCCGGCCTGGTTTTTGCCCTCTCCTTGGCTGCTTCAGCTTCCTTTCGTTTCTTCTCCGCGGCGGCTTTGGCATCTTGTCGGTCCTTGAGTGTCTTGAATGGGTCTGCATCGTACATCCAAGCCTTGCCGTCCTTTACATCTTGCTTCTTGATTTCTTGAAAATCTTTCCACAGAGATTTGTAGTCAGGGGGAAGCACGGTGTGCTTGTTCTGCATGCTACACACTCTGAAGAGAGCATAGGTGGCGGCGCAGTGCCTCGCCTCCAGCGCGGTAGGTCTGGTGACCAAATGCTTGAAGTCGGGATGGATCTTGAAAGGGTCCAAGGTCGTCAACTCCCGAGTCTTCAGGTCCTTCGCAGCAATAGTCACGAAGCATGCGTAACCTTCAGCGGTTTTCCGGACATCGTAGACTGGCTTCTCCCACTGTTGCTTCTGGCAGAACTCGTTGAAAAGGTTTACTGGCAGCTTTCCGGTCCAGGACGATCCGCCAATGATCTGCTTCACAGTCGGTTTCCCAGCCACAGGCCCAGCAGCCTGCTCCATAGGAGACGGGCCGCCATTTTTCTTGCCCTTGGCACCGTCTTTGGCCGATGAAGCGGCAGGTTGTGCTGCTGGGTCCGGCGCGGTGGCCTTGTCCTTTCCTTTGCCTTTCTTGACCATTGTCGTCGGTCAGTCGCTCAGTGTTCGGCTGAGGCGTTGTCAGCCATGCAAGGCGGCGTTCCGATGAAGGGTCGAGAATGCAACCGAGTGACTGACGCGATTGGCAGCGCCGAGTGAAGAGATGTCGGGAATTTTTGATTCGCCCAGAGGTGTCGCTGATTGGTGAAGCTGCATCAGCGGCGGTTGCAAAGACGGCATGCAGTGGGCGCTCAGTGACCTTGGCGCCCCGAGAGAATGATGGCGAGCGCCGTAGGGCGGAGCACGGCTGCTCCTGCAGCTACCCCGCTGTGGGTAAACCTCCTGCCGACTTCCCCAAATCCCCTTCCGACTTCTGTTCCTTACCTTATTCAACCTGTCGATGCTGGTAATAGGCAGCGTGCTCCGTGGCGCATTCGCGCAGGCATATCTGATATCCTCAGCCTTGATACACGCGTGAGTCACCAGCACCGGCCTTGACTCTGTTGAGGATGGCAGGCTGAAGCGACAGCTTTGGCGAGGAGCGAAGCCAGTCTTTCTGTGGTCTTGAACCTAAACTCCTACTTTCATACCTGCAATCATGGCCGGGGCATCCTCTGATCCAGAGGATGCCATCACCCAGGACGAGATCCAAGGGACAGCTCCGGCCCCAAAGGCCCCGAGGAACGCCTGTGCGTCTTGAACTACATGCTCCGAACTCTAGCTCGCCGTACTGACATGATCCCGCCCAGTCACGGAGCTTATGACCCGAAAGCGCAAACCCGAACCCGCAGTCGAGAACCCAAAAGCGTCGCGCGGGAGATCGTACAAAGCCCGAGACGGTCTCGGCGTCTACATCGACAATCCAGCCTCTCACCCGCCCTCACGCGTGATATATCACAATGACGACTTCGTCGCGATCAACGATCTCTATCCCAAGGCCAGCGTTCACACACTCCTGCTTCCCCGATCACCGGCGCACAATCTCCTCCACCCCTTCGAAGCGTTCGACGACGCCGAATTTCTCGCGTCTGTACAAGCAGAAGTCCTCAAGCTGAAGGAGCTGGTGGCCAAGGAGCTGCAGCGGCGATTTGGGAAAGACAGCAAAGCCGAAGCGGCGCGTGAGGCCGTCCTGAATGGCGTCGTCGAGCCTGAGGGCGATGAGTTGCCTAAAGGCCGTGACTGGCAAGCTGAGGTCATCACGGGAGTGCACGCACATCCCAGCATGAACCATCTGCACGTCCATGTCCTCTCACGCGACATGTACTCGGATTGCTTGAAGCACCGCAAGCACTACAATTCCTTCAACACTCCCTTCCTAATCGACGTTGCCGATTTCCCGCTACCACCCGACCACCCTGGTCGCGCGGGAGACCTCTTGAAGAGGGACTTTACGTGCTGGAGGTGCGGTCAAAACTTTGGGAACCAATTCGCAAGACTCAAGGAGCATCTCGCCGTCGAGTTTGCCGAATGGAAAAAGGAATGAATTCACTAGAGGCAGTATCAAAGGAGCATAGAGCAAGCAGCATCATGCATGAGAAGCTACATCGGTTCCCCAGCTCGCAAGCATGGCGAGACCCAGCCTTAGAAGAGAATTACAGATAGAATAGTCTTGTATTCAGCAAGTAATGGTATCTCGGTAATGGTCGAACTCTCATGTGCTTGGCGGTCCGCGAGCGGAGGAAGAAAAAGACCTCGACACCATGCCTGAGCAAACTCGGAAGCGATACCCCAACGCCTTTCGTTTCTTTTGAAACCCTTTAGACCAAATTCCTAGACCCTTGTGTAGAAGTACATTGCCCCGTTCATCCGTTTACTGTATGGTAATAGCGGTCAGCCGAAAATTCCTCCCATCATCCTTGACCAGGGGGAGGGACGCACCTCCTCGGCAGAATCCTCGGCGTTCGAGGGCGACTTTACGCCGGCATCTTCAAGGTCCTTGGCTGCGCATTAGTGAGCCAATGCCTTTCCACTTTGGCCAGTCGGCGGAACAAAAAGGGGGCAGACGTGTGTATGTATGCGCGTTTTTGCGAAAAAAGCAGAGGTCGAGCTAACCTTCCTCTTCGGATGAAGACGACTCCGCCGCAGGGGATTCCTCCTTGTCTTTCGTGGAGGCGTCGCTCTTGCGGCCCTTCTTCTTGGTCTCCTTCTTAGGGGTCGGGGCGGCGGCGGACGCGTCGGACTTGCGAGGGCGACCGCGACGGCCAGGGGTGCCGCTCTTCGCGGGGGTCTCAGAGGCCTCGGCGACGGCAGCTTCGACGGCGTCCTTCTTGGGCCTGCCACGGCCTCTGCCGGTCGAAGCAGCGGGCTTCTTGGGCGTCGTGGCCTTCTTGACGCCTCCGCTTCCCTTGGGGCGACCGCGAGGACGGCCTGTGGGAACGTACACCTTCTTCTCGCCAGGGACCTTGGGGGGTCTGCCGCGGCCGCGCTTGACGGGCTCCTCAGTCGTGGGCGCCATCGCGTGTTTTGGTATGTGTAAACGGTTGGGAAATCAATGGAAGAAAATTGACAAAAAAAAAAAGCCAAAAATAATAATACGAAAGACGAGACAAGTGCGACGCTTGTTCAATTCGCCGTGCAGCCTTTCTTCCGTGGTGAGTAAGAGGGAATTGGTGAGTTAGTTGTGTTGAGGAAAGAAAAAAAAGGGAAGAGAAAGAGAGACCGGGGAAGGAGGACTGATGGTTTGGCGTCTCCAATTGTGTGCAGCAGCTCAGGTAGGTGCCTTACCTTGCAGCTGTTAGACCAGCGCGGGAAAGAGAGCGCTGCAGCGCGTGTTGGCGTCGCTGGAGCTAGGGGACACGCTCCGGGGTAGAGAGCCGCTAGTTCAAAAGGCCCCAGCTTGGGTGCGTCGTGGTGGAGAGCTCTTTGGCTAAACGCCGGGTAGTTCCCAGGACGTGCTTTGGGAGCCTTTGGAAGGTCCCCTGCCGCCATCTGCAGCTCGCCTTCTTACATGCTGCGAACCTTCGTCTACACATAAAGGACAGAAGAAAAGAGCTGTATTCCCGCGACACACTTCGCTAATTGCCTGTCTCGACTCCGACTGAACTGGCCACCTCAATCAAGTATCCCAGGTGGATGCGCCGATCGCGAACGCAGTAATTTAGCAACAACGATGCGTACGCGAAAAGCATAGTTTGAAACAGGGATTCGTACAGAATCGTGCGATCTGGGCACGGTCGCATGCTTGCTTTTTGTGTCAGTACGATACTTCTCTTGAGCAATGCCGCTTGCGGTATTTCACGTATGCAGCGACTGAGAACCGGGAAAAGGTAGTGCTCTTCATAGAAGCAGCGAGCATGGCCAATTTGGCGTCTATAACTAGGAAAAATAGACAGTGTGTGGCAATATATCGGTCACAATTTTGGGCAAGAACTTGGTTCGCATGGTTCCAGGTAACGACAAGCTTTTTTGGTAATTTTACACCGCACTGAACGTTGGCGTCAGGCCCAGTGTGCACTTATGATACAATGCTTTAGTTTCGTCCTTCCTAGTCTCATACAAGGAGTATCTTCTGGGCTTCGTTTCGTCCCGTCTAGACATCTCCGCTAGTCGTTCATGAACACACGATATGTGATCTTGCTCATGTCCGCCTAGTACGGCGAATGGTGCGCGCAGGTTTGCTGTTATCCTACTCGGCAACCTTGGTCTTGACCTTGCCGCTGGCACCGCTCTTGACGCGCTTGGCGACGGGACGGTTGAGGTGGTGCTCGGGGATCCAGCTCTCGTCAAAGTCCTTGCCGGTAGAGGAGGCAACAGGGGTGGTGTCGGCCTCAGCCAAGGGTACGGTGACGTTCACCTGGCGAACCTTCTTAGCGGTCTTCGCCTTCTTGGCCTGTGGGAAGAGGGCCTCGATCCAGGTCTTGTAAACGAAGTAAAGGGTACCAGCAAAGGCACCGGTCAGGAAGAGGTAGAGGAAGATGCTTTTGCAAGTGTCAGCATTTAACAATTGATGCGCAGCCTAGGGGCCAACCTACATCTGGGGATCGAAGATGCTGGTGGGAGGCTCGACAACGGCAGCGGTTGCGTTGTATGCCTGGACCTGGAAGATATCGCCCTTGGAGTTGCTGACGACAGCAACGAGCTGAAGAAGAACATCCTGGGGCTGCATGTCGAGAGCGAAGGAGTAGGGAACAGCCTTCTTGTCACCCGCCTCGACGGTCAGGTCGTAGCGCGCAGACGTGAGGTTGCGGAGGATGGCATCGCTGGGATGAGCATTCTCAGCCAACTCCTGGGTTGTAGTCAGAAGACCACCGACCATGGCGACCTGAATTGGGGAGTCCTCATGGTTGGTGAACTCGATAACGGCCTTGGTGGGACGACCGTTGACGAGCTTGACGCCAAAGATATCAGCCTCGGGGAAGGTAGCGGCAATGTCGGCCTTCAGAACCGGAGCGGTGGCATCGGTGTCGACCTGCACACGATTAGAGACAAAAGGCAATGGCGGCGCGACTCTTGAGTCGTGAACTCACAGGAGGCGCCTCCTCGGCAGCGAACGCGCCAAGGATGGGCAGGGCCAGGAGGGCCAGAAGAGACGACTTGAAGTAGACCATGGTGGATGACGGGTAGCGGCAGCGACAACAAGCAACAATTGAATGCGACTTGACCAAGTCAACAATCGCAATCAATGATGAAGGGTGGGGGGAGGGAAAGGGAAAGAAGGATGGAGGAGAAGAAGTAGATGCGAGCCAAAGGGGGAAGAACCAACCCCATACAGACCGTTTCGCTGCGGGTGCTGAGGTATCACTTTGGCAGGCGACGGGACGGAAAAAATAGAGTGTGCGCCCACGGTTGAATCAGCAATGTGGCCTCACACGACTTGATCCACTGGAGAAGGCAGAGCACGAGAGATACCTGCGGGCTGCGGCCTGGCCTGGAAGTGTTCCATTAGATGGAGCTTCGTGCTATTGGCCAATCATCACATCAATTGACATGCGGAGCTCTGAAGGCGCAGGTGCCACTTGGAGAACCCCCCAGCCACCTGCCCGGGCCCGAACCATGCGGAGCTCGGGGACCTTAGCTTCAGCACATCTCATCTAAGTACCTCGGAACAAGGGAGCTCCTACTTTGAGGCACCATCGTTCTGCTTAGGTATGGTACGCTTCTCAGGAGAAGACACACACAAAAGACACGAGACAGCAAAACATAGCGATGGGCATCGCAAAACCCAGAGTCTTTCTCAAGATACCATAGTCATTGCCTCAATACTGAACCAACTACCGAGACGCCGCCTGCTTGGCCTTTTTCAGCTAAGCTCTGGCTCAACTGTAACAGTACATAGAAAATGCAAATTCCCTTTGCAAAAGAATTATAACTCATACACAAGTTAGTGGTGCCTCGTTCCAAAAGCCCCCTGAGGCAGCTAATCCCATAATCTTTGTTTCTCCATCATCTATGCCACTCCCTGCTGCCTTTCTCGGTTGCTTTTGGTGGTTCTGGTTGGCTCCTGAAAGCCACGCCCATTGCCTCTGTATGCCTTGTCTTCTAGGGGAATCATCCCACCTAACGCCGTAAACATGCTGGACTCGGATGAAACGCAAATCGACGAGGGCCAACCGAAAGAAATGAAAGGCTATCAAGCCGAAAACCAGTCGTGGATATCGTCACATCGTCCAAAGTCATCAACAGACCGTCTCGCCGGTCGTAAACATTGCTTTGAGTAAAGTTGCGCGTCATTGCCGGGGTAGTCGTTGCGTGTCGAGTCGGGTGCGCGTACCCGTTCGTGATATTAAAATAGTAGCAGCGGCAGTTGTCGCATTCAACATCGTTCAGAAGAAAAAAAGTTTGTCGAGTCGGGCCATGGGCCTCGTTGGTGTCCCCAATAGAACCCTCTCGCACGATGCGCGGTTGCTGATCGAGTACCATTGTCCTACTAGCCCGAGAACTCGACAGCCTTTGCATGGGCAGCGTTGCTGTCAAGGTCGCCAAAGTCGAAGGCCGATGCGCGGCCGACGGAGTAGCGGAATGGCAGCGTGAAGCCCTTGGCCAGTTCCGCCTGAACGTACTCAGCGGCACGCTTGTATCTCTTGTCAGAGTACTTTTCAAAGACGGCAAGGTGGTGCTTGCGAGGGTTATAACAGCATTCCAAAACCATAGAGACCAGATTCTTGAGCTGGGCCCAAGTGTATCCAGAGTAGTGAACGTGTGCCGGGGTCTGGCTTGTGTTAGCAGCGCTCATTTCCAGAAGTTATACCGGTCAACTTACCCAGTCGCCCTTCTTCAAGATCAGTCGAGACAAGCAGTGCGCAGCGGCAGCGAGGAAGCTGGGAGGGCTGGCGACGAAGCGCTCGTCCATGATGGTGACTTCGAGGAAATACTTTGCCAGCGTGCGCGTCTCGAGGTCATAGTCATCCGCCTTACTAACCCTTCGCAGAAAGCTCATCGGACCAGGGAAGCCAAGCTCGAAGCTCAGCATGCTGAGCATGAAACGCTCGGCCTTGAGAATCTCGTCAATTTTGTAGCCGTTGTCAACCATGAAGACAATCTCCTGCAAAGATGGACAGTTGATCTCCTCGTATTTGGAGGCAACAAGCAGAGCGGTAGCGCCCACTAGTTGAAGCTTGCCAATAGAGACAACCTTGTATGAAAGGAAGCGGTCGATGTAGTTGACCGTGAGGAAAAGAGTCTCCGGCAAGAGACTGAATCGGTGGTGGACTTGGATCAGCCAGTCCATCAGGACTGAGCGCATGGACCACTGGATCTCGGCTTGGTGGTCCATGTAGTGAGGGTCGGGCAGCATCTTCATCTGCGCAACAGTCAGTCAGCATTGAACGTCAATTGCAAATAGCCGCCGCCGAACGCACCTCGAGCTCCCTCATGTACTCAAAAATGTCGTCGCCGTACTCTGCCACCATACAGACATCCCAGATCTCGTCGTCGACCTCCTCTTGGGTACGGGTGCTCTCAACAATGGCCCGGGCCGTCTCCAACTCTTGTTGCACCTTGTCAGTAACCTTGGGAGCCAACACTGTGGTAGCGCCGCCAGTGGTGAGATCACCTCGGGATTTGTACGAGTGGGCAGTCGTGTATCCCTGGTCGTCGTAGAGCTCCTCCTCCTCTTCCTCGTCCCAGTATTCCTCCGGTTCCGACAGCACGGGGGCAGCAAGGGCCGAGTCGACGGGGACGTTGTCGTCCTGGAAGTCAACCTCAAGGGGGCGGGCATTTTCAGCGACCTCCAAGGAGCGCCTGTTGTATGGGCCGTGGTATTGTTCATCGCCAATATGTTCGACAGCATCCTCGTAAGCAGCTTCAGTCACATCATCCATTGGCTTCCAAGATTCTGTTGTGGCTCCTTGCTGTGTTGAGGTTGTGGACAGCTTGCTCTTGGTGCGCCTCAGCAAGTGCATCGCAGGCTCATTCTTAAGCTGAGGCTGGGACTTGTACTGTCGAGGCTGTCTGCTTGACTCTGCTGTGGCGTCTTGTGCCATGTGCTTGCTCTTCGAGGGTCTGGCGTCCAAATGGGCTACAGAGGCCCGCTTCGCAACCTGCTTTGGCTGCGCATCATTGCGCACGTCAAGCTTGGGTTGCTTCCATTGCGCTACAGGGGGAGCAGCAGCTTTGTTGCCCAAAGCAGTGGATCGCTGAGCAGGGCGGGTGAATCCATCCTTGCCGTTAGTAGGATTCTCCTTGTTGTAGTTGATGTCGACCACCTTGCTCTTGCCCGGGAGCTTGTCATTGGGTAGAGCAGCGAGGTTCTTGGCCGTGTTGCTGACGTCTCCGAAGGCGGTGCGCTTCGCAGCGACCTGGAGAGCGCCATTACGAGGCATTGCCTGGAGGTTGCCGGTGGATTTGTGTCGCTGATGTATGGAATCTTGTTTCGAAGGGATGATGTTTTCGTTTCCGCCCGGGTGGACTCGGATGCGCTGAGGCTGTTTTGAGGAACGTTAGTCAATAGAACAACCAAATCAAGGAAGCTGTCCCTCGCAAGATGGTCGCTGGCTACGAGGGAGAGTCGCAAGGGAGGTAGTGACTTACTCTAGCGTCCATTGCGGCTGCTTGGCTTGAGATGGCTAGCACTGCTTGTTCTTTTATTCTGTTTGCGACGGAAACCGGGAGGGGCAGTGGGAAGTATTATGAAGCTGCTGCCGGTGAGGATGTCGTGGGAACAATTGCGTCCGATAGCATGTAAAAACCAACGGCTCCTTTTGCCTATGCTGCTGCAGGTCCGGTCCTCGATTTTCGGCCGGCAGAGTAAAAGACGGCTGGGTGGGATTGAGTGAAGGGATGGATGAGGGATATTGCGACAGATAGGGATATAACGAAGGGGCGAGGGCCGGTCAGGTTTATGAGGTACCTTTAACAGAGGTAGTGGACTGCCTCGACAATGACCGGCTGTTGGGGGAGGGAGGGATGTGGAAGGGACGGAGATATGAAGGCTTGGAAACAGCTCTGGACGAGAAGAAAAGGTCTCAAGCCAAAGATTGTTTGGTGGTGACTGCCGCGACGGGGCGGATTAAGACCAAAAGAAAAGCCGCCTTGCTAGCCAGGTAAGGTTGGAGCGACCCTTGGGACAGAATGCAGACTGTTTACTTGTTTTGTAAATATTTCGCAGCTGCCCACCACCGACGCGAAGCCCGTCCCCCAAAGCGCGTCTTACGATTGGCTCGCTAAGGTGGGACTAGTCGTTGGCCGGCCACTGGGCGGAGACCTCTGGGCTCATCTCTAGGCGGAGGGGCTGCAGAGTCGCAGTGAATTCAATGTTTTGCGCGCCCCATCCCCGGTGTCTCTGCGCAACCGCACAACACACGCGCATGAACGAATCCGGGGAAGAGTCAATGAGCAACACGATGCGGACCCAAGACACTGGTATTCAGACGACGTTTCGGTGATATCATCCGACCTGCCTGCATCCAACCCCGGCCAACCGTTGTTGTGATTGCGACTTGTTGATGCTTGCTTGCTCTTGCTTGCACGGCCATTCTGTCTGCCCTAATGCTCGACATCCTCCGAGCCCACGCCCGCGGATGACAAGCCGCTTGGCAGGCACAATGAATGAGAATACTCCTTCTTTACCTTCAAAGAGCCTCCAACGCCTTTCTTTGTTGATCGAGCCTGTGAAACGAGGAACGTTGGATTTATCGGCTGTCCCAGGACGAGGACAAAGGCCCAGCCCCACGTTAGTCTTCAGCGGCTGGCACATGGGAATAGACGCTACGAGATAGCTTCCGGGCTGGAGTTGTCGGCTGCATCGTCTGTCTTTCACACAACTTGACGATACGATCCTTGGGCTCACTGAGGAAAGCTCCAGTTGACGCGGCAGGATTTCATACTGGAGTGGGCGGAAGATATCCGAAACCAGGCGCCGCGTCGGACACAAGAGATGCGAGGGTGATTCTCTACGGCGCAAACGGTGAAAAATCCCAGAATATGCAATATTAGATCCTTGATGGCGAGTATCAATCAAAAGGAAGGTCACAGAGGAGGAGGAGCCCATCCAAGCCTGGGGAACGTGGTTATCGTGCCGCGTGGCGTCGAACAAACGATTCGAGGTTCTCGGGTGGCCTCCGAAACGCGTCAACGTTGCGAGTCAAGATCAAGGACAAAGAACGACATT